AAATAAAAATCACATTTTAATGTAACATTATTATTTGATTTATTTATTTTAGATTCCAGTCGCGGTCCAGATTGGACAGTTCGGTCCGACCCACGTGGTGTCAGTTGTTGACCAGCGCTTCATAAGGGATCGTTTGTTGAGTCCCAGTTGGCAGCTGGGCCAGTTAAAAAGCTTTTATTTACAGTTTTATAAACCTGTTTTTTTTTTTGTTGTCTCTAATAATCACTGAGCAGACAGTTTAACACTATATTTACTTTTCCATTGGAATAAAACTGAACAGCAACCTGTTCAGAGTCAGAGAAGAACACGTAGGTGTAAAATAACCCCCCCCTCCCCGCGCTCCAACTGTAATAAAATATTAGCTAATCTTTTTACATTTCAGAATGACATGGAGGGGGATTTCTTCCTCTTTTGTTAACAGGTGCATTACCGCTGAAGTGCCTCCAGGGCAGAGATTAGCTTCCGTGCCAGTGCACGGCTGCAAGACTGAATGAATAATAGCAGTGACGACTTATTCAGCTCCAATCTGAATGTCAATATTTAAGCTTAGGCTGCATTTCCCCCGGGGCTGACATTTGTTTACCACACACACACACATAAACACACACACACGTAAACACACACAGACACAGATTCAGCCGTTTAGGAGAAATAATAATGTCAGATATTAATTTAGGAATTCCTATAAATTGTGGTTCGGACAGAGTTCATTCCTCTTTACACTGACACACACACGTGTGTAAACTGGGCTGGAATGTTGTTATTTATTGTCCAGAGCCTCAGGAAATGTAGTATTTTCAGTCTGTTTGACATGATTTTAAACCAAACTGTGGAACGCCCTGTGCCTTTACAAAAACAAAAAACAACAACCCACAAATAAACAAACATTTGTATTACATTTATTGTATAACATATATGCAGTAGGTCATATATGCAGTAGGTCACGCATATATTTGCAGGTATTTTTATTATTTTGCTTGCATTAGGCTGCGTTGCATTAGTAAAGATATTTTGTGGAAATCTTTCTCGTACTTTCACTACCAAGTTTTGCTACTAGAAAAAGCACTTTGAAAAATTTGTTGTTTCCCTTAAGTACAGTAGTGGCAGTTGTGTGTGTGTGTGTGTGTGTTTTTTTTTTTGTTTTTTTTTCAGTATCCAATCTCTTGGAAAAACATTTGGCCACACCTGCTCTAACAACAACAACGTGTTGACATTTTCCTGATAAATCTGAGAAGCACTGAAGACCTTGACGGAGGTTTGTTCAGAGTTCGGTCCAAGTGACTGACTGCTACATTATGGAACAGCTGTCCAGCAGCAATACTGGCAGAAATCAGTCATTAATCACCTGTTTGTTTTAAATACTGCGGCACAGAGGTGGCCAAAAAGGTTCCCTGCAATTTGATGCTTTCATTAGCGACTCGCGGTGATGATTACCTGAAGGGCATTTGAAGGTGATGTTCATACTCAGGGCTGTTTGAATTTCAGGGATTAATACCTTTTCAAAGTGTTGGTTAATAAAGAACCAAGTGCAGCAGCAGCTGGAGTTCAGTCGGTGGCAAAAGAGAGGAAATTGAGAGGAGAGTTAGGATCCAAACACGTTCCTGTCACAGGTCTTACACTTTACCTCTTTTGTTCCTGTCCCCTGAGGTGTCTGCCTTCCTGCAAACTCCAGCTAGAGGACATTGTCGGGACACGGCAGCTTATACATGTTAATGTTCCCTTTTTCCTATTCCTCTCCCGTTAGATTGATGGCTCAGCACTAGTTCCCATTGATCAATCGGACACAATCTGCGTCTCCAATGAACCCCGGCCGTTGGGATTGTGCATTCGTACGGGGGAATCACATCCCTCAGGGTATGACAATGTGGAGCAGCAGATCGATTGTTTTCAACTTATTTGTGTAAATACTTTGTAACCTTGCCAATTTATCACCAGCGATATCTGGGACGCCAAAAACTAATGTAGGAAACAACCACAGATATCAGCAGGGCCGCCGTCACCACATGGTCACCGGCCTGTAATTTGTCATCGTTGCCGGTCAAAGTCTGCCAAAATATTACGGGGATGATGAGAATTAATTATGCATTTCATCAGCGTGACGGATACCACGTGTTTGGCTCGAGATGACGTTTCCCCAGAGAACCGACAGAAAAGGAGTTGTCTGGTTTCTCAGGCGGCTCCTTTGAGAAAATGTTGTTGGTTTTACTCTCAGCAGATGTTTGTTACTGTCAGCAGACTGACAATAAAGGGGGAAAACCAAAATACAGCGACAGTGTTCAGCTTTTACGTGACTCAACCGTCTCAATCTTAAGGGTCTTCCACTCTGAAGAAGAAGAATGCAGGAACAGGTAAATCGTTATCTGGCTAGAAAATGATCTTAGATCCAAGGCTGGCTGGTAGATGAACCCACAACACACTGATCTAGGACCAGAACCTTCTGGACATGTGATGAAGGCCTTAGACTCTCATACTGATCCTTGTTGTTGTTAATGGAACCCATGAAGCTCCATATGTGTTTTTCATTTTAGATTCTTGCCAACCCTCACTTGTGGTACGGTTTTGAATATTTGATAGCTTGTTTTGATCAAGCCCTAGGAAAAGGTTTTACGAGGTCCCAGTGGTTTAATAACCAGGTGGAACCATGGAAAAAGGCAAAAAATGAACTTGATGTCAGTAAAGCTGGTTGAGATGTTCCAGTGAAAGACACTAGGTGGGTTCTAAGACCTTCTAGGCATCAACAGATTACTAAGATGAGATGATGAATGAAGGTCCTAGCAAACAAGAAGTTCTGTGCAGCAGAAACCTGGATCAGCTTTGACTTGTTGACCTGGGAGACGCCACTGACGATTTGTCATCCAGCCGGTACTTACAAGGTTAGAACTCAGGCTGTACCAGTGTGGTACCATGTCCTGACTTTTACCCAACTGTTGATTTTCCTGTCACTCAAAAATGTCACTCGATATTCTTTTAAAGGTTCCGTGCGGGTGTATATGCCAAGTAGAATCCGTAGCCTTCCTCATATTTCCATGTTTCTGGCTCCATGAAAGTACAGCGTCAGTCACAAGGTGTTTCTATCCACACTATTTTTATGCACATATTCAATTTGTGCATAAAAAGTAAGTTCATAAAGAAAACAAAAATAAAATATGGTAAAATAAGAAAAAAAAAGGGAAATTTGTTTTGTTTTGGCCATGACAGCATTAATATGAATGATACAAACTGATGGCTGACCGCAGTAGAACGTTTTGATAAAAAGAACAACTGGTAACAATGTGCAGCCGTAGCTCGTCATGAAGATAGATGAAATTAACCTAATTAACCTTAGTAAACATCAGTTGACAAGCTTTAATTAAGGAGGAAACCTCAACGTTAGTCGACTTATTTGTTGATACCTATTCTTATCGAACGAGTGACTTTTGTTGTTTTTTTTTTCTCTGGTGATTCAAACCTTAGTTTGCATCAACCTCTGCATATCATTGTGAAAGAAGGTCTTGATATTTGCAAATCACATTCCTGGAGATGCACGTATTCACATGAAAACACCAGCCAGGTTATTTTTAAAAATACATTTTTAGATTTACGTATTCACATGAAAACACCAGCCAGGCTAGGTGACACGGTGAAGATCAGGTTGACATGTTTTTTTTTAGTTATTTTTAAATGAAAACATGGTACAATAAGTTTGAATCGTTGTTTTTATCGTGGCTGTTGCATCGGATCTTTGACCTTGATTTGAACTTGGTCAATATTTTTTTAAAGCATGCAACTCAATTTAGCTAAACATTCTGAAGTTATCTTGAATTTAGTAAAAAATGTGGACGACATATGTTTATCCTACAGTACTGAACCAACCCAATGTGGGGCTCATGTCTATGAAAAAGACCCACACTGGACTTTGTGGCCCACATGGACATTAGTTAGGCAAGTTCATAAAGAAAACCATTGCATATAGGTTAAAAATAATTTATATATATTTATATATATATATATAAAACACTATATATATATGAACATATTTATAAATATACATGTCTATAAGACCTTCTTGAATGTACAAATAAACAAACTTGGGCTGTCTGTCTGGTGCAGATTTTTCCCGGCTGTCCTAGCGGCCCAGAGTTAGTGTTCATCTGCGGCGGATTCACACAGATCCTGGAGACAAGAGACGTCTCACAAGTAATCGTCCAGCAGCTGTTTGACAGCTGGCTGCCGGCCACCGCTCAGCTGTCTGAGCTGCTGCAGCAGAGCTATAACTCTCAAATTTCATCAGCGTTTATCGCGAGGAGATTTTTTTGTGGCTTTGATGTATTCCTTATCTAGCTTCCCGAGGTAACGTTCCCAAGTTTTTGGATCTTTTCTTTTTGTACGCGGGTTGTCAACAGCTCGTTGACGTTGAAGACTTTAATCAGATGTTATGAAAATTGAATAGAATTGAAGAGGTTTTATTGTCATTTTACAAGTGCAACAACGTTGTTGGGGGAGATGGAGGGGTGCGCCTCCTGCAGTCAACTGTGAGGAATAGAAATCTATAAGGGAATAAAGTACACATTAAAACACAAGATGTATTCAATTGATGCAGTGCTTTAAAAATAAACATCACTGATTTATATAGAAAACAGTTTAAAGCAAAAACAGCACAACATTGAAAAAAAAAGCTAAATTTTTGCAAAAGAACTCAGTACACACCAGATCTGACCAAAATACTCCAACAAAAGACATTTTCATAGGTACTAGAAACAATTACTAATCCCATGGCTTTGATATTAAAGAAGGAAACAAAAAAGCTGTTTACAAAACCTGGGTGATGCATCCTGTCAAACGTCAGTCGCCGTCAGCCTTGCCCTTACTCGTCATAAGCGTATGTCGTTTGCCATGTCGTAAGACAAAGGCCAAAGTGGGAGGCATGAGGAACATGCATTTTTAATGTGACGTCCTCATCAAATTCACTACGGCAGCCTGAGCTGAATGACAAGGACACTTAATGCTTCTTCCAATTACAGTGAGACGTCACCACAACAGGAGGGTAACCTGTGAAGGGCACGTCTGCCTGCAACATGGTCCAGGTCTGGATCTCCATGTTCCTTAAGCTGATGGTAATTGAAGGTTTGACCAAGAAGACCCTGGTTTCCATAGAAATCTTGAGAAGGATAATTCTGCTCACCTTCCATCCACAGAGCCGTGGATCTCTGCTTTGTGCTCCCTGTAAAAGTGATTGATGTCTCCACTGATAAGTGAGTAAAACACAACATAAGCAGGCGCTGTATCACCATCACACCTTCACCTTATTTATGCAACCTGACATCGCCCCCGGTGGATGCTGATTTGACCGCGCTCACCTTTATCTGGTTGCAAATATGCTGACCATTGCTCCATGCCCATTATTGTGACGGGGCTGGGAAATGTCAGCGCAGGGAGACTGAGAGATCGTTCCGATTCCTCTTTCACGCTTTCCCGTAGTGAAAGAGATCGAGGAAATGTAAATAGTTTTTTTTTTTTTTTTTTTTTTTTTTGCTGGAACTAAAGCGCCACCTTTCATTTGTGATATCCTACTCTTTCTCAGTGGTCGCTGGCACACACTCTATCATTATAATGAGGGACGCTCAATTAGACAGGGTCTACATCGGGGGGAGGTTTAAATGTCACAGAGCGGGTCCTGACATTTCTCTGTTTGATATGTAATCAGAATGGGAGCAGCACGGTTCACAGGGAGAACTATTCTCAACTTTGGAAATAACAAATTCCTCCCTGTTACGAAGGTCTCGGAGCGAGAGATGCCACCGACATGTCTGAGTTGCAGTAGGTGTGGTACAGTAATTAGCCCACAGGGGTCAGAATGTTTATGACAAACATGTACAAAATTCTTTTTTTTTTGATGCAAAAGGTTACTGTATGTTGTCAATGAATCAAAACCTGGGGATTAACAAATCTTTAAGTTGCGGTGAATAGTATGAGACGAAAACCTCCCTCTGACCCGATGCTTGAATAATTAGGGGATATAACTCATTGGCATCATTCCTCTGAGTGGCAAGTCCTGAGATTGACTCCGTAGCTGTCATTTCTCAGCTCTCTCGCCTGTCTGTCTTCACCATCCTTGTCAAATATGGGCACATGATTCCACAAAATGCATATTTACTTAAGAATATTTGAAACTTTCTACTGTTAGTGTACTCGACTATGACCCTTTTCATACGGCCATTGGACCAAAGTCATAAATTGTACGATGGCACCCTAGAAGCATCACGTGTTTTTTTTTTTTTATCGTGTTGTTTCTCGTCTTCATTGTGATTTTTTTTCTTCTGCAGCTGTTGTTTTTTTCCCCTCTTCCAGAATAATTCATAATTCCAGATGACTGACACGCCAATATAAAAAGTCCAGGACTCTCACTTCATTCAAAAAAAATCAAGTTCCAGGGAACTTTTTCGACACATCTTTCTCCCGGAAACGTTTGGATTGTCCCTATCTTTTCGGACACACCTCAGTTCATGCATGTGAATTTGGCTTTAGAGATTGTGGAAAACGTGTGACTTGAGGTTGAAGACAACATCATCTACCACTTAAATACTAGATAGACATTAGAAATGACATGACAATAATATATAACAATGTTAAGTAATTATATAAGACAGGATGGAAAGGCCACGGCCTTGATGGTATCCTGTTCATCAGCAGCCATGGAGGATCTGTGGAATTTGCAGACATTTCTCTGTCAAAACAAGATTATTCCTGGAGCTCCATAAATGTCCAAGCTGGACAAGGCCTCTTCTTTTCCTGCACATATTTTGAGAGTGACTTATACAAGCAAATTGCATGTTCTTAACTGACCGGCCTGCTGCCCAATCTGCCTCCTGATTCAAGAATTTTTGATGGTCCTCCCACATTTGACTGTCGATCTCTTTGAAAAAGAAACCCCCCCCCAAAAAAAGGTCCTCCCACATTTGACTGTTGATCTCTGTGAAAAAGAAAACCCAAAAAAAAAACAACCAACAATTTTGGTGGTATTAGAAAAAGTTGGAGGCGACTGGAGAAGTCCTTTGCTTTTGTTTGTCTTTCTGTTTCTGTGCACCTTTCTGTTTGTCTGTGAAACTGTGTGGACGAGAGACCCAAGAATAGGCCAGTTCCACTTACAAAACTTCAACAATGAGTTTTTCCAGTCCTGAATTGAAGGTTTTGAAAAAGAACAGAACCTAAACATGAACTAAGTTTGACTTTTATTTCCTCTCTCTCTCTCTCTCTCTCTCTCTCTCTCTCTCTCAATCAGCCTTAAAACCAGAGGGAAAGAAACAGTATCTCAACTGAGTTGCAGCTCCAAGTGAGGACTGGTCCATTTTTCAACGTGACCCCAGCAGGACGCGGCGGTGAGGGAACAGAACGTCTGTCTCTTGGTCTGAATGTCAAAACAGTCTTGTTG